GGCTTGTCGGCGTGCAATGAAACCTACTATTACTCCTACTACTACTTCTACTGCTACACCTTCTACTGTCTCTCTTGCTAGTAATATTTCAACAGCAGCCATTATACCTCCTTCACCTTCGTTGGGTACCGTAACCTAAAATTTTCTCTAATTTAAGGAATAAGGAATGATGGTTTCAAATTTTGCTAATACTTTGAAGTTTCTCAAAGAGAAAGTTTTTTCGAGGTAAGCAGGTAGGAAATTGAAATAAAGGGCTTTTGCACGACGAATATATCAAGTCGTCTGCTAGCCTCATTTTTATATCACCGAGCTGTAAGACTTTCAAACAAATCTTTGCTATTGCAGGATTTTGTTTGCTTTTTATTTTTTCAATAGTTTACAATAAGTAATAATCAAGTGAAACATTTAGAAACTTTTAAAAAATTTATGCTATTGAGATTACAAAAATATTACTATGTGTTTTGATAACATAGTCGGTCGAAGGAAGAGGAGGTAAAATTTGTTATATGTTTGTAATATTGAAAATTTGATTTTTTAGGGATGTCATTGTATCCGATTTTGAGATATATATTCTGTACGTGTTCGTTGGCTTCCTGCACCGATTTTTCTTTAAAAATTTTTATTGACATGTTTTACGTCTCTGTTTGATCTTTTTTTTGGATGTACTTCTAAAATGTTTTAGTGTTCTGAGTTAACTCTGTCATCATCGTTTTAGCGATCTTTTTTTTTGAAAATTTTAGCCTTGCTCGCTTGAAATTTACTAGAAATTGGGGTTTTCAAAAATCACTTTTAATTTTTAGATCATTTATAATTTCTGCCCTTCAATGCCTTTCGGCATCAGTTTCAAAATTCTCAAGCACCATAATGTGAAAGGAGAGGGAAAGGAATGTTTGTTTTTTGGCCTCAAGCCAAGATCTAATTTTCTATTTCCAAGAACTGAACGGACCTTGTTCCATTTTAATGGATATAAAAAAAAATTTCTCTCTCTTTAAAGAAAAAATTGGGTTTTTTTGAAATTTGAAATTAAATGAGTAAAACAACAAGTAATGGAATTGGTGACTAGTCAGTATTATCCATTTCATTTATTTATGATGTATTCCAAAATTTTTTCCTTCATATATCATTTCAGTCTTTTTGAAATATGCTCAATTTTTTAAAATTCCCTACTGCATCTGCTTTTTCATCACTTCCTGATTATACATCTATCTGACCATCAATCATCAATCGTAAGGTGGAGAAATTTTTCATATTTCGTTTATGACTTTGTATTATATGATTTTTTTCCCCTGTTATGTTTCCTTAATTATTTTCTCATTTTTAGATTTTTATATCGTTATTTGTAAATTCATTTATTTAGCGGCTTAGAGCCTTGCAAAAATTCAGGAAAATTGCTTAGTTTTCGTAAGTTCCCTAACTTACTTAATGAGAAGTTTTAGTGAAAGTTTCAAACAAATTTCAATCCAGACGAACTACATATGCAAAAAAAATATCATAGCGGTGTAAATTTTTAAGAGCCCTGCTGAACCGCGTCTCTCATTTCAGTACGCGAGATATATGCATAAATTTATTATATTTAAAAAATTAAAGTACGGAGTTTTTTTATTGTTTTAAGTTATATCAAAAAGACGAATGGAGGTAACTGGACATTCTGCAAAATGAAACCTCTGACCGTTTCGGTTCACATCAAATTAGTATCATATATAACTTGGGAAGCTTAACCGGCTGTTTTGACACGTCATCAATATTTCAAATGACTAAGCCGAGCAATTTCGATAATTTTAACATATATTATTTTAAAAAATGTTTAGTTTTGCTGAATTACTTGGCTTTATATTTTTCTACAAGTTTTTTTCAAGTATTGTCGTCTTTCTTCAAGTCTTGATATTTGAATTTTTCCATAATTCAATGTATTCCAAGTGCTTAACTTTTTGATCGGTTGTTCACATCTTTTTAAAAAAAAAAAAAGTATTGTGTTTGTATAACTGCAAATTGATTTTTTTTGTAGCGATAAGGAAATTTATTTCTTTTCTGAAAAATGTATCTGATTTCCCATATAACGATTGTTTATAGTTCGAAAAGTACATTCACTTCACTTTTATCGCTTTTATGCTTTTTATATAATCTTAGTATAAGACTAAGCATGAAACATTTGTTTCTCTCATTGAAAAAGTGAGATGAAATTTAATTTTTAAAAAATTTTCGAAGATTCTTCTGAACTTTCCATGAGTTTGTCTCTGTAAATTGTTATGTTGCATATCACTTCATTTTATCAATCCTCTACTGCCACTGTCATTTTTTTCGATGAGCTGAGTATAGCATGTTTTTTAATTAGAAAAATTAGTTCGTGAAAAAAACATGTTTTGGTTGAGGTTGATGATAAATGTTGAATAATTCAATTAATTAAGACAAGTGATTATTATTATGTCTCCTTATACTCATTTATTCTCATTTCTATGTTCTCTTTTTTGTAATTGTAACATTCCATTTCCTCTATATCGGATATGTAATATAGTTAAGCTCATAAAATCTTATTGTGAATTGGAAGATTTTGACAATCTTTTGCTTGGTTCCTTTCTAAGAAAAAGATGTTTTCTATCCATTTACACAGTTAACCGTTCAGTCTTCAAAATTATCCGGAAAAGGAAGTGTGTGATGGTTATGAGTTGCAGGTTAAAAGCATGAATTAGTGAGTTTTTAATTAAGATGTTTAAATTTTTCTTGTAAAATATGCAGTATTAAGCTTGATATTATTTGTATAAAATGAATCTTGATTTTGAAGCCACAGTCTGTATATGAATTATTTCCTCATATTTCCTTATCGAATAACCTTAATGAGGACTGAAACTTTGTGGAATTTGATCATTAAAGTATTTAAGTCCTTTTTTTGTAAGTTTGATATATTACGAATGCATCAAAAATCTTCAAATGAGAAATATTCAATTTTGACTTAGAGTCCTAAATCGAAAGGAAATCTCAATCTTCTTAATTCCGGATTTTCTTCACACTATTTTGCATTTTTTTGAAAATTAAAATTCGACGAAAAATTTTTTATCAGCTTCTCTGACATAGACAGTTTTGATATGAATTTTCTTTATAATTTATGAAGTTTCATCAGTCATCTGACCACTACGGATAGGATGAGGATGGATTGCAATTATATTGGATTTTGGGATTTAAACAATCCAATTTTTAGCAGGATAAAACAAGCAGGAAAAATTCACTTCGGTTTGTTGACTTATTATCATATGTATTTTAACTATTTGGTATAAACTTGTTCCGGTGTTAAGGTTGTTTGTGCCTTATTTTATTTCTTATATAAAGAATAAAGTGATGGGTTGTAATTGCTCGTGCTATTATAATTAAAGCATTTAAAATCATTTGTTGTAAGCCTGATATACTACGAATGCATCGAAATCCCATACTCTAAATGAGAAGTATTCAATTTTGATTGAGAAACCTAGCGAATCGAAAGGGTCTTTCCATTTTTGGATTTGATGATGAGTTCTTTTTTTGCGTCTTTTTGAAAATTAAAATTCGACAACAATTTTTTTTGCCGTAGTACTAGTGATAGCTGTAGTCGTAGTATGTTGGAATAGCAAATAGTTGTAGTTCTTTCGCTGTTTTTTTTTTATATTTTTTGTTTCTCATCTTGCAGAATTCTTTTTTCTCAGGATTTGTAAGTGAATTTCAAAATTTCAGTTGCACATGCTTTTTAAGATTTTTTTTTGAAAATTAGTATAAGAAGCATGAAGAATGCATCATTTACAAAAAAGTTCGCATTATATGTTGCATATACGAGAAGTAGTATTTGTCTTAAGTTAGCCACGCGTGATATGCACGTTATCACGTTTTGCATGGACCCCTTTCAAAAAACGAATGTGGTTTGAGAAAGTGTGATTTGGATCTTACAATATGATATTTAAAATTAATCGTGTAATGTGCCTGATACTTAAAAAATTAATCGTGTAATAATTAGTACCTTAGGCACCTAGGTGTATTTAAATGCATAAAGTGATTTGCAATTGAAAGAAATGAGAGCAGCGTTTAAGTTTTTTATATTTTATGGGATTTAGTTTAATTGTTGGAGCAGAAAAGAACTTCCGGAAATATGTTTTCAAACATTTCTGCGCTAATGGCGCACTTGTACTTTCGACCTGATTGTATGCGTAACTTTATTGTGTTGATGAGATTTAATTAATCAAATTTTATGGATAGATTAATTGAAATTACAATGATGACCTGAGAAATTTGACCCAGCATTTTACAATGCGAAGCAAGAAATGAAATCATGTAATATTAGACAAGTTAGATGAACTGTCGGATTGATCGTCCATATTTTCTATTAAGTTTTAATCTCGGACTAATATTCTTCTTTACTTGTGAATTTTAAGGGGTTTTTAAAAAGTCTGCATGATAAATCACAATAAGTGTAACTAGATGTAGTGGATGATTTTCAATCCCAAGTTCGAACTATTTTACTCATACGGTTAAATTAAGACAAGAGTTAATTAAATTAAATTAAGTTGTTTATTCGTGAATTGAAAAAAAAAACTCAAATAAGCAAAACGAATAACTGTTTGCCAATTTAACGTAACAGTTCTGAAAATAACGATACAATTTTTTGATTCAATTATTTTGTTCAAATGTATGTTGCATAACGGAAAACCCACAGTTTTTATTTTTTATTTAAATGAAATTTGAATTTTTTTAAAATATTAACAAAACGTTATTGGTATGTTTGAAGATTTTTGGTTGATTTCGGAGCGTTACGTATTTTACTTACATTTGATCAAAGATTGGGACAGAAAGATTATGGCACTATTTGTTTTTTCTTTTACCCACCCATTATATCCATGCATTTGTTTTTATCAGGAAATATCATAATTGATATTCGGGAATAAATTTGATTACTACCTTTGATTTTTTACATCATTTTTTTCCTTTAGCAGAGCTTTTCATGCTATTTTGCTTTCTGTTTTCTGTTCTGAGCACAGTTAATAATGGAAGTGGTATTGTTATTGCTTGCTGTTACCTTTAGTTATTAACGGTACAGTACATCCATGAAAGAATTTGTCGATTAAAAAAAGAAATTACCAGATACGATATGAATTTATTAAATAAAACCCTGACACAATACCAGACACAATATAAATTTATTTAAAAAAATATCGAGCATATCATTGAGAAATTCGTGCATGTGCTTTTCTCGGTACCTTTACTCAATTCTCTCTTTATTCAGCGAATTCTTATTGTGTTAATTTATCATTAGACTTTTGGAAGTGATCAACCTTAGTTTCAGATCACTCCAACCAAAGCGTTGACCGATTTTGGTGATTTCCGTTCAGCCCCAGATTGTCATGCAGAATGTATCGGATGCACGGAATCACGATCAGCAGTTAGCTGTTTTTCTTGCAGACATCTCACGCAATCCTTGCGTAATCGTGCAGGCTTTAAGTAAATTATTTATTATCTATGAGTACATATTGTCATACAATGAAATGATAATTATTTTGCAGGATTAACAGGATTTTGTCCTAGCACGGGTTCTAGTATTCAGTTTTTTAAAAAGTGTTGGAAGCTATATTGACAACTATCATGATTAAACTGAAAATAAACCATTGTAATTCAAGCATTCCTATTAAGTTCCACTAAGAATCTCATCCTGAATCTAACTGGCTGATAAAGCAAAGGGGCGATTTAAGTTACAATTGACGTCAATGGGTTTTTTTCTAGTTATTTTTGAACAGCTGTTGTGGCAGATAGTTGCGATATCATTAGTAGAAGATGCAAATTTTTATTGCTAAAGGCTGCTACATTTATTTTTACGTGCAAATTTTTATTATAGATGTGTGGCCAAATGCGATGAAGGATACTTCTTGGAGGGATATAAATGTCGTGCATGCAGTCCGAATTGCAAAACATGCATCAAAGCAGAACAGTGCGAAACATGCCCGGGCGCACAGCTTTTAATAGATGTAAATCATTATGGACATTTGGATCACGGACAATGCATTGATACATGTCCACCTGAGCTCGAGCCGGACTGTAAGTGTTGCAAAATCACTTATCAGTTTTTAATTACCCATTTGCATAACAATAATGACATTGGATTCAAAGCAGAAATTTGGGAATTATTTGCTGATCAAATAAATGCAGTAGTTGGAAGCGACTGAAACTTTTTATCTCTTTGCTCAAGAAACATGAAATTCCAAGAAATTGCACGCCTTTTTATTGGTCAAATAGGCAGCAAAATATGTTATTTAGCAAATCAGTTAAAATGAAATGAGATGAAAACCCAAAAAGATTTGTTTGTTTAATAAAATGATCTGCTTTACGGTTTATAGTTTTAGAGGCAAATAAATTTCTATTATTTTTTCCAGTTGTGATTAAGCACTTTTGTTTATTTTCAAACAGATTGTAATTTCATGGATTAATAATATTTCACTTTTCTATAGATACAATAGCAGTGCAGGCGCGTTGTGTACTGAGAAGGAATAAATGCTCCACTGGATATTATGAGGCAGCAAATTCTATTTGTACGCCATGTGATGATGCATGCAGGACATGCCATGGTCCTGGACCTTTGCAGTGTGATTCGTGTGCCCCAAACTTTAGTAACCGATCAGTAGGATATTGTCGACCATGTTGTAAAACAGGCGAGGATCCAATGTTACATCATTGCGGTTAGCTATAAATGTTCAATAAACTTATAGAATTATTAACATTTCGATCATATTATCCATTCCATTGCCAGAAATCTTAAATGGTTATTGTGATGATTTCGGGATGAAATGAAAGCATTTCACAATACACAGAGATGATATTACCTAGGTGGAAATGCTAAAATAAAGTCACTTTAGGAGAAAAGAACCCAGAACAAACGTTCGTAATAACTGCATTTGACTTTCAGTCATATTTCAAAAAACTCAGTTCATTCTAGTATTTCTTCGTTAATCTTTTCCGTTCTTCCTATCGACCTCTAATTTCTACTTAACATTTCGATACATTTTCTTGTCTTAGATTACCATAACTCCATGGGTCATTTAATGGTTTCCATGATGAAATTACACAATTCCATGCTAGTTTTATTGCATCTGTCAATCAATTTGAATTTGCAATTTCATTCATTTTTCATATTTCAGAGGATTGCACTTCATTATCATCCCAAATATATGCAACACATTCATCACTGTTTCACACACTGCTTTTCATAGTCATTTTTTTAACTTTGTGTGCTACTGTCTCTCTGTTCATTATAAAAATTGGTATTGGTAATTCTTCGAATCGCACCAATCGGAACATCGAGTAAGTCACTTTACTGTCATTAAAAATACATGCAACATATTCGCTTTTACCATTTTGCCACGATTGAAACGACCAGATAAAATATTTCTTTCATCAATACATTTATAGATATAAGTTAAGTGATCTTATTTATGTAGGTTCGGTATTAAATAATTCTTTTAAGTTCTTTGAAAGAAACAAAATAATGCATAAGTTTTTTTTAAAATTTATTTCCAACTTTCGTCAACAAAATTCTTAGACTTTTTAAATTTAATTGAGGATAATGTGCAATTAAAAAGTCCATTAGTCTGAAAACGTTATTGTAATTTTTCCAGTACTTTTTTTAGTTTTTCCAGTCATTTAAAAATTTTCTGTTCCAGTTATACGCCTCTGCCGGCCAAAGAACGGCTGATCGATTCATTTGCGGATACAACGGATTCTGAATCTGTCGATGAATTTAATGATGAAAATGAACCCGAAAACACATGAATGTCTCAGAAAATTTACCAGATTATAGCAAAACATCATTTTTCTCACTGTCGAGGAATAATTTGCTTTTTTAATTCTTAAACTAATTTTGTTTTTCAAATTCTCAAATTTTACTTGACTTATTTGAAAATCTCCTTTTTGCATTTACTCATTTATTCTCCTGTTTGCTGCTAATTATCTTTTCTTTTTTAAAAATCATGGATATTATATTTGCAACAACTCATTTAATGCCACCGTCTCAAATCATTGCGGAATAATACCATCTTTTTAAAGAAAATTCAAAATTACAGCTTCGTAAAGAAGGTTTATCTTTTAGATAACAAATTTTCAAGGGATGAAAAAAGAAGTTTTGATAAGATTTTTTTTTGGTAGGTACGTTTAATTGTAGTGTTTGCCTTTACTGACTGAAATGAAAAACAAAAGTTTGAAAAATTAAGTTAGATTAGCATTCGAAAATTTTGAAGGAAATTGTTATCTGAAAAGCTGTTTTTCTGATGATACACTTAAAGTCTGATATTGTATATAATCTTATATTTAGAATGTTGGGAGGGTGCTGTTCTTTGCAATCCCATAATTAATTTAACTGAAGAAGTTTCCATTTTTATGCATTGTTACGGGTGTGACACTGAAAAGAGAAGGCAATAAGTAGGTACTATTTTTATGAATTGTTGTACTTTGAAGTTTTTTTCATCGTTTAAAAAGTTAAATTTTTTAATACAAACTTATTTTCTCGGTTATACACAATCCGCTTCTTACAATTCGTCATATTATTCTAGCCTTCTGGCCATATTAATCATTATTCATTTGATTTGTATGTTTGTACGTTTGATTTGTATGTTTTTTTTTACTCTCTTTACGGATGGTTTGAAAGCTGAAAGCTGTAAGTGTTGCAATTCTATTGGAACTATAGTAACACTTTCCGGTCATTTATTACGGATCTACTCAATGCTTACAAGAATTTTGAATTAACTATGAATTGCTTGTGGTGCACTGAATCGAAATTGATGATAGATATTCTCCGAATGATATTAGTTTCATTATCCGTCCAGATTTTCGTATTTTCCGAAATTGTAAAAATAATTTTCTCTCATATATATATGTTCAAATTAGCTTTTACATGCATTTATCTCTTTATCGCCAGCAATGACACCAGAATGAAGTGTTGTGTCTATTTATAAGTCGAATAGTTGTGTTAGATATCTTATTTGAATTTATATATATCGTTATTTAATGTTATTGCAAGTTGGATTTCGATTGAGATTTTTAAATATTTTCGGCGAATTTTATAACTTTTATTTCGATACTCTCCCTGATACTTATATTAACCATTAATGCTTCTCGCTGAAAGATTCATCACGATTTGAAGGTTTTTAAATTGATATCTTTCGAAATTATGCCACTCTTTAATCTGAAACATTTGAGAAGGCCTTTGTGAATTCTCTCATGATTATTATTTTCTCTCTTGCATTTTTTTATAAAAATTGCTTGCTTTTTGTTTTCATTTCATATCTTTTTCTTCATTATTTTATGGTTTTAAAATTTAGGAATGAATTGGATTACTGTGGCAAATTTACTTAATTCTTCATCACATTTCTTCATTGTCTCTTTTACAATTTGTTTTACCAATAATTAATTTGTATGTTTAGCATTTAGCTGATTTTTTCAGCACTATTATCTATTCAGTTGTTTATTCCTTTTTTTACTTCAAATACGAGGTCTATCTTTCCACAAATTTAGTCCAATGATTTTTAAATTGGTCTTTTTATCGAAATTGTAGCTGTGCCTTTCTATTTAAAAACAAAAAGAGAAATAAAACTTTCAATGTTGCTTCCGTTGCTTCAACTAAAACATTTGTAGTTTGAAAATTATAATACTTATCCAAAATGATATTTTTGGTTGGTACATTTTTTTTCGATAAATCTGGGTTGAAAGGGATTCCTCTGAAATTAATTAGAATACGTAGTGAAGTACTTCATCAGTTCAGTTTATATCTAAATTGACTGTTGTAAAATCTAATTGCGAGAGGAATATTGAGGTTTTGCAGTTTGACAGTTAACTGCTTACTTCTTCGGATGAATTAAAAAGTACGAAGAGGATGCTGATGGGGTAATGTCTGTGCAAAATCGATTGAATTTCAATCAGTATTATGATAGTCCATCTCCCGGCTTTTAACTAATTGAGGATAATTAACAATTTATTACCAAGCATTTCAGATGAACTGGTAAATATAGGTAAATACTTTGAAATTTCTAATAATGACACGAGTGAATATATTCATTGAATAAATTTAGTCGTTAAAATTCTGTCATACATTTGCATTGAATGATAAAAGCTATGGTTTTTGGTGCTTTCTTTTCAGAATGTTTCGTTCGTGGCAAAGATTCGTCAATTTCCAGCTGGCTACAAATATATTGCAAAAACATGGATTAGACATAAGGCCTGATGGAATGAAGATATATTTGCAAGTAACACCCTACTGCGGTGCATCGTTATGTCAACTAACACAATTTCGAGAGTTGCACTGTTCACCGCTATATTTGAAAAAGAAAAGGAAAGCGAAAATCGTAGGTGTTCTTGTATTCAAAAAATTCCTATAAAAATGATATGTTGGTTTAACTGTGATTTCGTGCTTAGCTATTGTATATTTGGAATTTAACAGTTTTGTCTGCTTAAGTTATATATGGAGGAGTAATGTTAATCTGATCTTTTTATTATTATAGAATTTAGTGATTAATTCTTGACTTTTTTCAATTAGAGACTGATTTAATAAGGGACTGGTATGATAGGAAGAATAAATAGAAAGAATCCTTTATTCCTTTCTCGACTCTCTAATTATTTTCATATTGATGGTCGAAATTCTGGTGGCAGAAATTGAAAAGACTTAACTTTATGTATTATACTGCTCTTTTTTTCTATCATTTGAACGAAAATCATTTGCAGAAAAAGAGCTTAATATTGTGATATAATGTTATTGTAACTATTGATGACAGTTTCTCGAAATTAAGACATCACTACCGTCAATTGTTATTACTATTGGAAGATCCATTGAAATTGTTTTGTTTAGAAAGGATTTGATGATGAAAACGCTGATGATAGGAATGGTGATCCGGCTAAAGCTTACAGTTGTGATTTTATCATACAGCATGGATTGAAGGAGATGAAAAGCTTGGAGGATATCTTCGTGCAGGAACTTTATAAAAGTCTTTCATTGAAGGTTGATTTACGAACATATGAAGATTTTGTGGTGAAAACAGAGGATGGAAAGGTAAAGATCATTTAAGGATTTTAGATTATGTGTCTTTTTTGATGTGGTATGGTCCAAATGCCAGAAGTATTGTACCATACCTCAAATTTTGAGTTTTTCTTAGCTGTTTCCAGCTTGATTCTTCTTCTTTTGAAGTTAAATTTAAAAATTTTCGAAACATTTCTAAATTAACAGTATTATAAATAAATTTAGATTAATGTTCAATTAACTTTATCGAAATATAATTTGCAGCAATATAAGTTAAACACGCTTGGACGAATCAAATTAGTAAATCCACTGTTGGTTTCTGTAGATTTTACGGATAATCCGTCAGTAATAAAGTCAGCGCGTCTCGCTATTGAACAATCAAAACTTAACGTGACAGTACGTCAGGAAGGCGCTGTATTGTATATCTCTTTGCCACGGATAACACGTGAACGACGTGAAGATATGGCAAATATAGCATCCAAAAAGTTGCTCAACGAATATAAAAAAGCTTTAAATGAAGTAAATTTGAATTTCCTATTACTTAAAACTATCTCATAGATATAAATCTATTCCTTTTTGTTTCCTTTCCAGCAGCATTTTCATGTATCCCCCAGTAAGTTGTAATATTTCAATTCATGGAGTTCCAACTTGTTACTATTAAGCTTATACGACGTTACTTTTAGGTCACAGATTCAGTATATGAACTCAGGAAAATCAACCTGTTTATCATGACATGCAAGATTTAGACATACAAGATGAATTAACCTCTTTTTTGATTATCTGCATTTATTTTTGGTTATCTAAAAAAAGTGCATTCTAATTTGACTTTCATTTTTCATTTTTATAAATGGGTTTTAGGCTTTGTTTCAAGTCCATAAAATATAACAGAACGGAATTTAATCATGCATTTATTCAGGTTTATTCAAAATATGATCGAGAGATAGAAGATCACGAGGAATTTCAGAAAATTATGCAAGGTTTGTTGAAGGAAAAGAAGGCTATGGAAAAGAAAGCAATAATGATGATTGAAGAAAATCGTAACAAACTGCTTACTGAAGTTGTCTGATTTTCTCTGGATATTTGAATTTCCATAGTTTAAGTCATCATTTGGATTGAAATTACTGGTTTATGTATGCAACTCCCAAATCATGATGCTTTTCTCGTTCATAATACTACCATGTTTTTGATTTTCACGAAACGAGTTAAAGTATTATCTAATGTAGATTTTCCGGAACATAAGAGTTGCTGAAGACAATACATCAAATAGTCAAATCAAGATTATTGTCTTATCCATAAGTTGGAGATGATAATAATCCATAAGATGATATAGTCAATATGTGTTAGTTTTGCTGTTATCAGTTTGCCTTTGTTATTTATTGTAATTTGTAAGATGATATAGTGTGTCATTTTTAACTGCTTTAATAAAAAATGATTACTTCAAAAGCAGAATATAAGTTTTTAATTAATTTCTCTAGCTTATAGCGCTTCTTTATCATGTTGGTTAAAGTCTTGCGGACCGAGCTACTGATTCGATAAACCGACAAGTGCATTACATTGAGTGATGTTGTAACTGGTAGACAAACTTTTTTAGAATCGTAATAAATGTGTGTCAGGCCTTCGCATCATTTCTTTAAATCTATCCGTTAGTTTACGTCATGTTTGCTTTTTTCATAACTTTAATTGTATTTTATATGACGATATGGCGATTTCAAATGAAGCATCAATGAGCAATAAATTTCAAAGTGGTCATTACTGAGAACAGCCAATCATTTTACACTTTCCGAAATGGTGTAATATGGGCCAAAAAAGATAGGGTATTTTTAAGCAAAAAAGGTATTTAGCACAACTCATCAATCCATTTCATTCATTACATTTGATGACTCATCCATATGTTACGAAATGAGCTTGAAAAATCAAACCAAAAAAAGATGGGAAAGTAATTGGTACAAAAGAAATAAATCTGTAGTTTGACGACGTGGAATTTTCTTTTCAAAATTTCAATCATAAAATTTAACATTCTTGTAACGATGTTTGATTTAATTCGTATTATTATTATTATCATTAATTCTTACTAAAAGTTATTAAATCATTGTAACCACCATTTTTTTCTTCATTCACCATTATATTTCTCAAATGCATGATTTAAATCAGCAAATTATCATATCGTTACGATGTAATGATACTTAGAGGACTTTTTTGCAGATTCTACAAGAAAATGCGGAAGTTAAATCATTTTAATATCATAATGGTAGTAAATATTGGTTTAAAGAAAATAGTTTCTCATTTCATTGTTATTTTTCTGACATTTGCAGAAATTCCGTGTAAATTTTCCGTGAATTCTCTGGATCCATCTGTTAGTTGTTTGGGGTAAAAAAAAAATTACTGTTCTAACAAAATTTACTTAATATTAAATAAATTTGTTGCATCAATTCCCGGATTAATTCCCAACCTCGACATTATTTATTATTTCACTTTTATATGGTGATCGAAAGATAATAATTTTTTTCATAAAGAAAACTCTTGATTTTTTTGCACATAATATGCTATTGGTCTTTTTTTATTTGAGCCAAACAAACTTTTTAAGAATTTTTAAAAACTTTGCCTTTTCATTGTTTATGCCAGTTTTTTTTTTTTGTTCATCATCATTTAACTTCTAAATTTATTCAGCTCAAGTTATTTTTTCGAGTTATCGCTTTGTTTTTTTATGCTGTATTATTTTATTTTATTTTCATTATCAAATTATTTCAAATTTCTCGCGTATCTAAGTAATTTTTTTTAACTAATAGAAATAAAGTTGTGCAACAGTAATTGATTAGGGTCACAGGTGAGAGAGAGCATGGAGTAGAATCTTAAACAAAGCATAACATTTGACCTTAACTGAATTTACTGAGCTGTAGCATCAAATAGTAAGTAGCATTCTTTTTTTGAAAAGAAATGAGAATTAAAGTTAGGAAGGAGACATTGACAGGGTCATTGAAAAGTATTCTCTCAGTAAATTGTGTTAGCGGTTATGAACTTTACTAGTTTTGAGCTCTTACCAAATTAGATAATTCACGATTGCGCAATCGTTGTACTTTGATAGGTTATTCAAGCGCTTGCGCAATTGTTGCACTTTGATAAATTATTCATGTATTTGCGCAATTGTCTTTCTATAGGTTATTCACTTTATGGTTTTGTAACTCTTAGAACTACAATATGGACCTGCACTTCTGTTACAGTAATACCTTTATAGAAATGATACCTTTGTTATAATTAGATATGAAATAGCATCTTTTTTACAGTTCAGTTTATTTTTGAAACGTCTCTCAAATTTAATTTTAAATTTGCTATATCTTTTTAGGATTTATAAAAATATAAGTTAATCAATATTTTGTAATACACGGGATTTTGTAATAAATGTTTTCGAATATAGTAAAGGCAGAACAGACTTATATTATGGCAGAGTCATTTGATATAATTGTTTATCTTTAAAATACATCGGTGGGAAGAAGTACTGTCCATCATTCAGTTACACAGAGGATTGGGCAAAAAAGTATGAAGGCAGAATGTTTACCAGACATAAGGTCACCAAAACAATGATTCGTTTGACCTCAACCGTTGATTTCTGAGATTATATTTGGAGGGATTTTTGGAGATAAAAACAATTTGAAAATGCATATCAATGGTACTGAAGTACCGAACGTACTGACAGTGCTGTGTGCAGCGAAGAATTAAAAATAGTTGCTTTTTAAATTGAAAAATAATATAGTACTGTTTACAGTTGAGAATTAAAAGTTGTTTTCTGAAATATAAGATATTTATCAGCATATTTTTTTAACTTAGCTTTTTTTTATTTCGATGCCGTTTAACTTTTTATTTATTTTCTATAATTGTTTCCACATTTGTATTCCTGTTTGATTGTTCTTCAATGATTTGATCTTTTAAACTTGAAACCCCAATAATTTGAAGCTCTTTGAATTTCAACTTCTTCGGAAAGTTTATATTCTTGGGAAAGTTCATATTCTTGGGAAAGTGAAGCCACCGCTTAGAGTCAAACTGAAAATTCATAATTCATTGATAACTTTAGTGAAAATTTATATTGCTCTTCTCTCAGTTATAGTATTTGTTTACTGTTCATGGCTTGCTAATTAATTTATGAAATCTACCCAAATTTGAAACGGGTATCCGGCAAACAAAAAATTCAAACGTTTCTATAGCGAGTAAAAAATTCCTGAACTCTGTAATCAAAAATAATGAAGATATAATGAAGATTTGGGTAATATAAATGTTCGTTTGCCAATTGTAAAATGTTATTTGACATCATTATTCATTAAAACGAAGTTTTACCATACACAATTTCATCCCCCTGTTCAGATATTTTGATAAGCAGAAATCTTTAAAAATATCAAAATGATATTTTTAAAATATGGTAAAACTTCGTTTCAATGAATAATGATGTCAAATAACATTTTACAATTGGCAAACAAACATTTATATTACCCAAATCTTCATTATATCTCCATTATTTTTGATTACAGAGTTCAGGAATTTTTTAGTCGCTATAGAAATGTTTGAATTTTTTGTTTGCCAGATACCCGTTTCAAATTTGGGTAGATTTCATAAATTAAATATTGCTAATTAGTAAGCCATGAACAGTAAACAAATACTGTAACTGAGAGAAGAGCAATATAAATTTTCACTAAAGTGATCAATGAATTATGAATTTTCCTGGTAGGGTGATAGAAAGGAATTAGTGGATTAGAAAGCTATCACCGAATAGGTATAGTTAGGAAGACGAATGAATAACGAGAATTTGAATTGTAATGAAAATAACCATTAGCCAGTTGTAAAATATTATTTGATATCATTGTCCAATAGAGAGATTTCTAATAGTTGAGTGAACGATTTATAAATGCTCCATAATTTTGATCATTTTTTTGAAGAAGCATTGAAAGAAAGTAAGCATCTGCATGGCAGTAACACTAAGATCATTGCACTATGATATCCGCGGGTGATCTCAGTGTCAGGAAAACATTTCAAAAGTAATATTAGTAAGTATCCGATTGATTGATGATTATGTGATTTGTTTGCCGAATGCAAAATATTGAATTGATCTACCCGATGTATAAATTCATTAACGATTCAGAAGCGGATTACATTGATTAACTAAAAAGAAGCGGTAAAAGCTAATTAATTGCACTCCAGGTTATACTTTTACTGAAGTTTACTCTTATGAGAACTTTGAAACGTGACGATGAAGTTGAGGAAAATGATTCTATCAGTAACGAAAAAATGGTACGTTACGCCATTGCGTCGTGAACGCATGCTACGTCGTGCCGGAATGCAGTCTAAGATTAAATGTTTGGGCAAATGGCACAGGTATTCCAAACATGAAATATTATCACGACGTAAAACGATGGATAATTTAATTATGCAATCACCAATTCTTCCATATAACGATATGATAATCTCTGAGCATTTGAGTAGAACGCAAGGGTGGATGCAGAATCCCGGATTCAGTTCGTTCTATAGCGGCATTATAGTAATTAAGAAGGTTAAAATTTGTTTTCAGCATTCTTCTTTTCAGCTCATTTTTTCATTCTTTCTTTTTTTTTAATGACTGATAAAAAAGCAAAGCATTCATTTTTTAATATTCAAGAAGTTAGCATAAGTAACGCATGAGTTCGGGCAATTAATCTATAAGAATTATTATTTCAAAGATGATATAAAATCAAACGAGAATGGATGAGGATAAGAAGGAGAATAAGCAATTTTTAAACTTCGCTAAGCCAATAATCTTAAATTTTGACTATCTCTCAAGATTAGAAATAAGCAAAAGGTTTTTTTTTTGTGTGTGTTTATAATTGCCTAGCTGCTAATATTCATAATTACTTAGCTACTAATACCTCATATTGATGATCATTGATAATTTGTGAATATTTTCAGCAGCTTGATGCTATGTTGCTTAATGAGACAAAATTGTTAAGTGGTTGTTGCTGCAATCTTATGGCAACGTTATTTTGTCTAAGAGTGATGTCTGAAATTGAACAAAAAGCTGAACAGTTAGTCAATAAATACCGTACGCAACAGGTAAGTGTTATCATTATCCAACTGATTATCGATATTATGACTTACTTGAAGAAACTTCTGAATCATACATCTTATCTATCATGAATGTAACATAAGATTTGAGCATATCCAAATTGGAAAGTTGAAAAATTTTTTACATGATAACTGATTGTAATTCATTGATTTTTTTCTTTTGAAAATAAAAGTTTTAAAAAATTTTGAAGGAATTCTGGCCAATATGTGTAGTACCAGTACAATGTGATGGATCACAACTGGTGGAAAGCGTCGATTTCTCGAAAGATCCATCGCAGATAAGAGATTATTTGGATCATATTAGATCAGTTGATCTCAAATATCATCAGCATATTCGACGTGAAAATAATACTGTGCATCTTTTTGCTGAGCGTTTTATGAAATGGCGAGTGGGCGCTGGTGGTAAACTGTTTAGAAAATTGGAGAAAATATATGACGAATATTTGAATTGTGTAAGTTTGAAAATATTTGGAATTAATATGGAAAATAAAATAGCAATTCAACTATGGAATTTAATTTGGTTCAGTTTTATTAAATTTGGTTTAATTTAATTTTATGCAAATAAAAACAAATATAATAATTTGTAACAAATTTTAAAGTTTTATTGATTTCTGTTATTTAATTTTAATTTTATTTTAAGATTGACATAAGGCAAATTTTGCAAGTTAGAACAAACTGAATTAATTTAAATTGCTTTGTTATTGTGGAACTAACTAGATCAGTATCTGTTTAATCAATATTTTAAACTATACACTGAACACTTTCCATTTTGTCCAAGCAATTCAAATCCAGTTCTTTTTCCAGATAGTCGATAGAAGTATCAATATTTTACCAGAAATTCCTGGAAATCACACGATAAAAAGATTGGGAATGTTGAAGGCAATTTTCCAACGTCGATTTAAATGTGTGCTTGCCGGATGGCCTTGCGGAATGGAAAAGGCTTTGCTATGTCCCTATTGTCAATTCCTCCGAGTTCAATACAATTGAATTCAAAATTTGATTTGAATCGCCTGGAGTGCAACAAACTAGCTTTTCCTAGTTTATATCAACTTTTTATTTTTCATTTCATTAATCATCTTGTCAAGAATTATCTTCATCGAAAATTTTTCATCTAAATGCCTTAATTTATTTTTTTTTAAATTCTTGAATTATTACTAAAACAAAATAAATTAAAGGTAGTAGAAGAAATTATATTAGCCTAGATTTCAGTTTCTAAAAGAGGCACAGTTTGTTTTGAGAAAATAAACGATTCGCTTTTTAAATTAAGGTAAAAGGCTTTCATTTCTTGACAGGATATGTTGTCATAAAATTAAACTATTATTGCGCGTATTTTTAATTGGAATTTTAAAAATTTCTATTTTTCTTCTTACATATTATTGCATCCATTATTTTATGAAATAACCGACTCAGGCTTTAATTATTAAGTGCCTTAAAAACTATTTGGGTAACTTACCGACCTGCTAATCATCCTAAGTCGGTTATTTCAATCATCTATTATATTTATTTTAATTGGAAATTCTTTCAATATGTTGCATGTCAATTGTTCCTCTATTCTTTCTTCATATTCCGAAACAATTTTTCATCAGCTTCGAATGGGTTATTTCTACTGCGTGTTTTACGTCAATCATCGGCAATATCCAAGCGTGTCTGTTCATTGTTTCAATGTGTTACATTACATTCGTTACGTATTCTTCATACTCCGCGATGTTTTTTTTTTTTTAATGTTCATTGATTTATTTCTATTACGTGTTTTATGTCGTTTGTTTTTTGTGATTAATTTCTGATACGTGTTTTACGTCGTTTATTATCAATAATCCAAACGTATTTGTTTTTTTTTGTCACTATAAATACTCTTCGCATACCTTTTGTTGATATTATTAGCTGCACATACTGCTAAATGAATTTTTGTTTGGTTATGATAATTTAAAAAGAAGAAAATAAAATTTTTTTTTTTTGATTAATTCATCAATTTAGAAACAAATGTAACAAATATTGATGAAAAAAATTGAAATTTTCAACAGCAATAATACATGGTAAAATGTGGAGAGGAAAATTTCACATTTAAAAAATCCAGTCAGACTTCTTCCATTCCGTTTTTCTAATTTAACAAAAACATTCCAATTAAGTGATGAAAAGATTTCCAGAGTAGGTGCATAAATTTGACTCTCTTATCAGAGATACTAGAGGCATTACAACATTCATAATTGGTTCAATTTTTTCCATTTTCAATGAAAAGAAAAAAAAATCATCCAATGAATATAACCTTTTAATAATATCTCACAATTTAAATAATTACCAAAAAATTTCATCTTACTCGAATGATAAGGTAAAATTTCCATCTTTAGACAAACAGTGATCTAAGTTTGTAAAAAATGCCTTCCGTAATGACACAAACGACAGGACAATAAAGTATATCTTCTCTCGCCTGTTTAATAATTGAACACGAAGTTTTCAATTTTACTTTTCCTGCAGCAAAAAAATAAAAATTAAAATAAAAAAACAAATCGGAGTGGTGAAAATGTTAACAGGTATATGATATTACTTGAAAATGATACTAATATGAATGTTATAATTTTATCAAACAGATTTGAGATAAATGACGATTTTTAAGGTTAGCTGCTAAGTTGCTTTTATTTTCTTCGATTCCTAAATATGTATTTCTTGATTGATGAATGTAGTCAAAAAATTTCATGATCTTCTGAAAAGAATTATTAACTTGCATAAAAATTCGCGAAAATTCTTCCTGACCTCTGATTCAATGTTTGCATATCAATTAAGATCATATTCAGGGAGAATTTGTTCAATCGGGACAATTTTGGACATTGTTTAATCTTGCTATGAAGAATGGAAAATTTGAGGTCAGCGAATTGATTTATTGTATCAGTTTTAGGATTTCTATGTTGTTTTTATTTCCTGCATTTTAAATCTATTTAAGTCAATAATTCAAAATTATATGTTCGAAATTTGATTAAATTTAGATTTAAATTTACAGGATGATATAGATAATTTTTATTATAAAATATGCTTCACTGTCAAACTGTCTGACCCAAAAAATTTTGTAAAGAGAAAAATGATGCCTCTTTGACCTCTCGTAAGGGGCGTGGCATAATTTATTAGCCATCGGCCACTGCCCCCTTTTACAGTATTGCCCTTCAGAGCTATTCAGTTTTCTTACTGGAAGAACATATAGTGACCGTTGGCCATCCTCATAGAGGTTTGTTTCCTCATTGTTTTCTGTCTCAATCGAGAGTGCAAGATCCATTTGAAGGGTACGTCATTATCTCAGTCTGTTCGTTTTACCTTTTTTATCTTTCACATTTGCTATCACATCGAACTCTTCCATTACTTACTCATTCAATTTGTACAAAATATTCAATAATCAATCAATAGACCTTTATGATAAATCAATAAAACTGATTAATTCTTGCAAAAAAATGCAACAATTCAAAGAATTTTGCATAATCAGTTTACTTTTTTCAACATTTTTTCGAAAAAATAGGGATCAAATCTTGAAATTTGAAAATATCTTCAGAACTGAAACTTGGAATGAGCATTGATATATTTGATATTTCGTTCTTTTTATTTATAACCATACAAGTTTATCAAATTATGATGTTTTATTGATTTTTCTAGCTGTATGCTTGTGCTGGAACTGATAAAAAGGCAACAACGAATAAAAGCTCCGAATTCGGATCAGTACCCACCGTATGATTTATTACAGATAAGGTGAAACAGCTTTTTTTATCAAAGAAGAAATTAAATTTAAAATTTTAAATTTAATTTCTTCTTGCTAAAGATATTGGCAGAATGTCTCAGAAACTCTAAGCAATTCCAGAAGTTATTACTCAAATATTGTTCGTAAGCCAAATTCAAATGGTGTAATGTAAAACAAGTAATAAATTTGAGAGAAAATTGCGAAGTATATTAAGGATGCATTTGGCATTTTATCATATGGTAATAAGATTGTCATTCGCTAATCACTTGCGAATGATTTCATAATTCAAAATCAAATAATCTAAAAATTACAGATAGAGCAGAGAAAGTTGAAATCAAAAAGATGTTCCTCATTTCGACACCTGTTGATGATTGTCCCGAAGCTAGCTGGTTGAAATTACAAAATGTCGCTCGCAATTTTGCTACATTTTCCAACATAGCAATTCCAAATTTTCGAACTGCTCCAATAGCTGAGCTTTATGAATTATCGAAAGATATGCAATTATTGGATCATTCAGTGGAAAATTTATTCCGATCATTTCTATCTGCTTTTGAGAATGTTCTGCTATTTGAAGATATTGATTTGTTGGAAAATTTGATAATCCGAAAGCAGAGATACGGTGAAAATATCACTGATTTCTCATGGAATATGGCCATATATTCGCCACATTTGTTATTATCTGATTTATGCGAACTATTTTACAAACATTTTCAAAATCTTGACCAACAAATACGGCATAATGTTACAACATATAAGGAAAATTTGAAAATAGCTAAAGAATATATCCGTACTGAGGAAACATTAGCCACACAAAATTTAGCTTGTTTTGTACGTGAGGAAACCATTATTGATACGGAATATATTCAATCAGTTTATGTAGCTGTACCACAGCAATCAGCTAATACATGGTTAGAAATTTGCGAAACACTTCATGATTCAATGGTAGCATGTTCCAGTTGTTTTATTATTGAAGATGATGATTACAAGTTGTATTCGGTGGTTGTTGTCCGTGAAGATTTCTTGGAATTTCGGGATAATTGCGCCAAATATGGCTTCATTGCTCGAGGATATCAGTGTGATCCGGATGGATTCGCCAGAAAGCTTCATGAACGACAAAAAGTTGAAGAAGCTGCACGATATCAAAATATAATGCTCATTCAATGGCTCAAACTAATGGCTGATGAGATTTTTGAGGTGCTAATTCATATTAAAATATTTCGAGCATATATCTCAAGTTTGATAATATACGATGGTCGAGAATTCCAAATTATCATGTTTTATCCACGTAAAAATTCGTCGCAACGATTGCAATCCGAATTGACGAAGTTGTATGAGGAGCAGGAAGAATCAGATGTGACAGACGAAACGGTTTCGTTGCACTCATCGGATTTATCAGACTCGGATGCGGATTCTAATTCAGGTCCGGAGAGAAAACCGAAAATTGAGAGTCTCTATCCGCCTTATTTAATCTATAAAGTAGGTCTACCTTTTCCAGAATACTAAAATCTCATTAAACTGTATCCTTTATTACAGTACATTTGTCAAGTGATTGTTTTTTCATTCCTTGTCTATGCTTAAGAGCATAAAAATAAATTGCTGAGTTGACAGTTAATGAATTAATAGGACAGCATTATAAAAAACTTCCAGCACTGCAACACATCACTTTATTGTTACTTCCGCACAAGCGAATTTTTCAATACTAGCAAATGCAGTTCCTTACACCTGCATTTTGATTTTCATAAAACTTATGTATTGGCAATAATTATCTTGTTCGTACCAGAAAATCCTCGCACGTCGAGAAGGGGAACAGTCGCTAATATCTCACTAGTGAAAGCATGTCCATATTTACATCCCTGATGCATTTAGATCTCAATGTTTGTACCATACCCAAGATTCCCAGAAACAGGGTAGACGGGTTTTTTTTTTTTTTTGAAATATGTCCAGATATCCTCATAACCGCTGCAAGGATTCCAATTAAGGAGTGCAGGTAAAGAAAATCTGGAATTTTCTTATTGAAAGAACATATGTTGACCGTTGGGCATTTTTCAAGTTAAGATTATACGAATTCTGCAGTCCTGGAAGTTATATGAGTATAAAACCAGTCATACAGTATCCTATCTTGTGCAACATTTCTAACGTATTCTTAAGTTCTTCAAGTTTAAATTTTAAGATCTTCACAATTCTGATTTTTTAGAATTAGAAAACTCTAGAAGAATGTTAAGTCCACCAAAGCATGATTTCAATCATTAAATAATCTTTAGAAAATTATATAATCGTAATGCCATGTAATAATTATAAATGAAAAAAAAAACAATCAAGCTGAACAGGCAATGAAATCACATTTAAATTTTGATGTTCTCCAGCTGTCGCATTCCATTCTTATCGATAACCATTACCTAAAGAAATATTTAACAAAATGGATCTATTCAATTGAAAATAGGAAGACTGATATGATAAAAGGAAAGTTTTTTCTGATTTCATTCGATATCCTTAGCATTCCCACAATACTTCAAATTTAATTCAAACCAAAACTTAATTACTCCATTAACAATTTAAATGTGTGAAACCAAAAATCCTTACTCCAAATGATGGTAAATTAACGATAAAACGACGTTTGGATTCATACAGACATTTGTTCAGCAAATCTATTCCTTCAGCCTCAGTCATATCTAAACAAAAACAGAATTATAAGAGGTCTGATATACTGCCTTTAAACCGTGGTAGCATAAATAATTTCGGATCAGCGAAATAAAATTAAAAATCTTTCGTATAAAATTCGAAGAGTCTAAAAAAACTCAATAAAACAACTCGACTAAACAAAATAAGCAATATTCTTGACATCCGAGCTATTCATAAAATTTAGTAGCACAATAAACTGGCCTTATCCCAAGAACAAGACCATATTATATTTGAGAGCAAATTATCACTGAGATTTGGTTCTGCGTTAACCTTTGTGATCAAATAAAACATTAGTAACATACAAACTAACCATTCCTATATGTTTTGTCTAAAATTGAATAACAGAATCGTCCACTGAATCCACGAAATATATAAGGCTAAACAATTAATAATAAACATTATGCAAGAAAACAATTCGGATCAAATGTATACAATACCTTTTGCTTAAAATTCTCACAAAGTGTTATGCGCGGTAAAATAAGCATCGACAATAAATGACTTGATTTCTGATAGAAAGAGGAATTTTGTTTAGCATAATTTGTTTGGTAAAAAAAAAGACCTTTCAGTCACTGCTACCACTATGAATATATAATTCTATATATTCATAGTAATAAATCTTACATTATAACTAACCTGATCAGCAATATCATTGCCCAAGTAGTCAACAGAACCAAGAAAGGCTTTGTTTTCAGTGCTATCATAACCACCAATCAGTGTATCAACAGCATAATAATCTTGTGTCCGTAAAGCTTCAGCGATACTTCGACGAATCCAATGATGACTCGCGCGTGGACTCATTTCGTAACCTGCAATATATTGTATCTGGAAAAAATGACATAGCAGTATGATTTAAAATCCAACTCTCGGCATTGTTTATAACATTAATCCATAATCAGAACGCGAAATAATCTAAAGTTCTCAGTTTGCATGCGTGTTGGCTATTGCACTTTGGCATCAAAATGAATGGCATTCCAAGTTTGTGTCATTCGATTAGTTTACGAAAGATTGTAAGAGAGATCGAAAACAAATATGTTATGGAAATAACTCTACTTACCGTACCGAAGTTTATACAGTTGAACATTTCGTTTGCACCAATCTCCAAACTGCGCTACATCACCATCTTCGCCAATACATATCATTACTAATTTATCACCCAAGGTAAATTTCTTTTCCTCATCTGTCAACAAACACAGTAAATATTGTTCATCTTTCCAAATCAAAACAAGGACAAACATTCCATGTTATATCGTAAAGAACCGCATCATATAAGTTATTTATTTATTCATTTCGAAGATATTCTAATGAATTTTATAAAAACTCCACCGAAAATGTTACCATAGCTTCCTTATCTCCCTATCTATCTAAAGTCTTTATAGATATTGCACTAATTTCATTAACTTTCAAAACATAATTTCGTGGACCAGTAAATGCACTGTCTGCTTTTAACATTGCTACTAAATGCATCCTCAAATTATTATCATTTCACAATATGCTCATTTTTATAGTTCTGACAATTTGATGCACTAAGAATTTCTTCACTCTTATCATTAAGCAAACTTGGTTCTTTTATCAAACTAATTTCCAGTTCCAATCAAATTCAATATAATACTGTGATCTAGAGCTGTGAAATTAATTCGTGTAAAAATAAAAAGTAACCATCGGTAACAACAATCGCTCCATGTGCGAAGCATGAACGATCCGATGCCAAAATCACATATTTGTCGGTACGTATTCCGATTAAAAAATGTGTACCGGACATAGTTCCGAAACTTCGTGAGATAATATATGTCACCTGAAACAAATACAATGATGTTTAAATACTAAATATCACACAAGTATTTATCATGGAGAAAAAACGGTAAAAAATTTAGAACTGATAACAGAACAGAATGGATATGCTTCTAGATCATAAATATCAGCACCAATTATTACTGTAACTGTAGTTATATATAAACTTTCTTATACAATTCCTATTGTAATACTATTTCCAGAGCCCCATCACTGCTCATCTCTTATATTATAACTGTGTCATTCCTACATATTTCTTATATCCAATAAAACAATTAATTCTCTTTTCTATATAAAAACAGAATTAACCACATCCCCTAAATAAGCTATTCTATCAAAATATCCAGGTTAGCCAATATTCCACTCCTCTATCCGAAACCTCTCATCTAAATTAGCATCTCGTTGTGCTACCACACATTTCCTTTAATACAAATTTCGATTGAATAGGTGTTTTTCGAACATTTTCCGACAAAACTGAAAAAGACGACATAATTCTCGACAAATTTTGCATGAATGCACGACAAAACTGTTAACAGTAAAAACTTTTTTTTTCTTTCCTTTCCAAATGAGTATCAGTGAGATTAATGTTTCATAGTTGTCTTGATGTGGTTATGTTACAATGATCTTCATTTATCCTAATGTCTTACGTATGACACGGCGTCTAACCGGAAGGTGGGAAGGTGGCTGATGATTACGCATTGGTTTTGGTGTACGGGTGGTTTACGTGATTTGGGGATTTCATGGGCAATGTTTTGCCCAAGATTTATGAATGGTGACCGTAATTTATCAAGAGTTTTGAATGAAAAGTAATGAATTTAGTAGTTGTGTTTTCTTGGTCATCCGATTTATGTCAGTCATCCAGCATTCAGCAGGTCACTTATTTTAGATTAGAGAAATTTTAGATTAGAGAATGCCGCAACGATTGACATACCGACGACGTCTGTGTTACAATACCAAATCCAATAAAACCAAGGTATTTTTGTTATAATTTAAACATGGGAAGTAATAGAATTTTCCGCAAATCAACGAAGACATTTGAGGTTGTTCGTGTAATGCGAGGAACGAAGCGATATGGGATTATATTCGAGAAAATCTTTTCTGGATTCATAAGATTTGTTGTCTTATGTAGCCCAGTTTATTCCTTTCTCAGGTTGAGAGGGAATCCTCATGTAAAATTACTGATTCCAATATGTAGTGATAATTTTGCTCTGTGTAATAATAATTTTTTAAAGTCTGCGAACTAGAAACGTCATTTTATTGCGACGCTTACGTATTTTGCAGGTATCGAAAACGCCTGGTGGACGTGTAGTTTTCCTGTACAGAAAAAAGAAAGGTTCTATAGCTCGATGTGGTGATACTGGAGTAAAGTTGAAGGGAGTGAGCGTCTTTTGAGCATTGCTGTTTGATACATTATGTCATGTCATATTTGGAAGAATCTTGTAATACTGTAGTTCGGATATTTTGAGCGCGGAATATATATGCTTATGTCACGTTTTCCGCCTACTTTCCAAATTACAACAGACATAATAGGATGCTAAATTTAATTGAAAGACTGGAGGTGTCGAATTGGAAAATTAGATAAGCGATCTCGTTTTCAGAGCTTCTATGTACTTTTATTTTTCAATTTAGATCGAAAAATTTAATCATTATGTAACTAAAGGCTGAGAAACAATGATTTCTATTCTCGTATTGTTTAAGGTCAAACCGGCTAGGCCACGCCAGCTGCAGAGGATGACAAAACGGTTGAAGCGCGTGACTCGTGCTTATGGTGGTTGCCTTTCAGCAGCAGCCGTACGAGAGCGCATTATTCGAGCTTTTCTAATCGAAGAACAGAAAATTGTTGCACGTGTGTTAAAAGCAAAAATTAAAGCCGAAAAGAAGTAGATGGAATTTGTAATTTTATAAATCATAACTGTTTTTGCTTTGGTTGTTAACTGTATTGAAATAAAAGTTTGTCAGTCGAATAAGATTCGTGTGGCCTAAAATGCTTATGTTTTGTGTACTCAATTTTCCATTATTTCTTGACATTGCTTTTGTGATATTATCTTTTATTGACTTGCAGTTTCATTAATTAGTAATATATCTTGCTCTTGTTTGATGAACTTCCATTACTGTTGCACTTCGCTTTTGTTGTGTGGAAATGTTTTTCCACCTTAGCGAAGAATATTTCGTGTGGCATGAAGATATTGAAATACCGCCCTTGCAATTCCTTGTGATTTCCTCCTAAGTTGAAATGGGGAAGAATGGAGAAAGTTTCAGGTTGTTTCATAGTTGACATCAATATCTGTAAATTTATGGCTGCAAGAAATGATACCAGCAGGAGCTACGGTAGTTGGACATATCGATTTTTTCAAGCCAGCGTTGAGTTTTGGAAGAGTGGGCCAAGAGGAAAGGAAAAGAGAGAGAGAGAAAGGGAGGAGGTTCAGTTTCTCAGGATTGATGGATAACGGAAGTTTTGAAAGAGATATGGAATTTCCATGGAGCAGGGCTGTTCGACGGGAAAAAAATTGATCTTTGTACTGAAGTGGAAATGCGTCGAAATTTATGTCGTTTTTTTAATAAGCGAATGGTTTTCTTTTGAGACGTGAAACTTCAAAAATCGTCAGGTTTTCTGTTTGAAGGTTTATTGATTTTGTTTAGGGAAGGCTGTGTCTTTTGGGGAATCCAAGAATTCATAGTTATAGGATGTACAGCTTCACGGGTCAAAGTCAATATGGGTAAGTTTTCTCTCCTTTTCAAGCATTATTGAAACGAAGAAAAGGGTAACTGTTTTAACTAGTATGCATAGAAATGATGTGCACATCATTGATCGGGAAATGAGTTGGTATTACAGTGATTAGTAGGAATTGTGCTTGGTTCTGAACTTCTCCAATTTAGATATATTTAATATGTTGATTGAATAAGGTCAAGAACTGTTAATCTCGTAATCTTGTAAAAATTTTGCAAGGTTTCGTTGTGAACAGTAAATGGTAGATGTACCAATGTTTTTACAGAGATTGATTAATACTGTTCTAAATAATGCTTGAAGACTAGCAAGATATGCGTAAGGATGTCTGCTTTTTGAGAAAACAGTAAGGAATGTCCTAAGAAATTACTTTAAAGCATGGAAGCAAATCCGAAGAGGTTTTGACGAAAGATGGAAAATGATTTTAAAATTTGCTAACTTTTACTGTTATTCAATTTTTTTGATTGTGCTTTGTACTGTTCGTTATATAGCGGATTGGTACAATTTTCAGAAGTTATAATTCAACTTACGCAAGTTCACCAGCCGCTGCTGCAGTATATAATGCAACGGTGCAGTCACAGCCGACGCCACATACTCCTGCACTTGGTGCTGCTGTAGGAGCTACAAATCCGACTAGTGTTTATGCCAGGTAAAGATCCATTCGGAAGATCTATTTCTCAAAAATAAGATAACCCAAGCAATTCAAGGATGATTAAATGATTTCACTGAAGGCTAAATCTTACCGGTCATTATTAACTCCAACAATAAGGTTCTCTTCATTAGTGTGAGTCACATCAGTGGCCGAATCTGAAAATTAATTTACAAGTAATAAAGTGTGTTTATAGTTTCTCAAGTGCAGCAGCTCCTACGGCATCGCCATACGCTGCATATGCAAATCCTACGGCTGCAGCAGCATATGCGCAGTATGGACAAACTGCGGCGGCCGTAGCATCTTTGCAGCAGCAACAGCAGCAACAGGTGCAGCAGGTTGTAAGGATTCTTCTATTTGAAGAATTATTTTTTAACTTTTGAAAAGTTTTTCAGCAGAACATTATACCGTTCGTCATTGAGGAATGGGGAAGTTGTAATTGGAACTGTGGTTCTTATTAGTTACTATAATTTTAATGTTGTGGTTGATATCCGCTATATTTTATTCATTGTATTTAGTTAATTTTTAATTTTTTCGACCTTCTCTAATTCACTGATATTGAAAAAATTTTGCAGAACTACAGTAACTTACAGTTGCAAGCTGCAGCAGCAACAGGTGTTGTAAGTGCATCTGCAGCGGCCTATCCAGGGCATACCGGAACACGACTGACGGATTCATATAGTACCATTGGTTCAGTCCCTTCGACGGGCGGTACTTACACTTCGTTATCAGGCTTGTTTTTTATATTTTTTAAAACAATTTCTATGGTCCGGATATCTCTATGGAGTCTTTGCTAGAATAGAATCTTTACTAGAATTTGAACCTACAAACCATTTATTTTCCTGTTTGCGCTGTGTGATTGATCTTTTTGCTTTGAAATTTTCTAGCGCATTTCTTTGTTTTACTAACCTACTATTCTTAGATAGTTAACTGCTACTTTGTTTTAGATTTGAATTTATTGCTCCTCTCTTGAAATTTTAGAAGCAGTGAAAGAGGTATTATATCATACTGAATTAAAAAATATAGTCGTTAATATTCATTGTTCAATATAAAAGTACTTTTTTTAGAGTATACAAATACATTACGCACAGCTGCAGCGGCAGCTGTTGCTGCTTCGGTTGCAGCAAACCCCACAAGCAACAATTCATATGTAGGCGTTACCCGAATTGGTACAACAGTAACCAGTCAGCCAGCTAACTCATCATCAACGACCGGGACGAGCAGCTCAAGTATTTTTCAGAAGTTTTCAAGTACGGAAGTGAATTGAATGCTTAAATATTTTGAATACAAATTTTCATATCTGAATGAAACTTTAATATTTCCATTCTCATATTTATCATTTCTCTCCTTTAAAAAAAACTTTAAAAAATGTATACAGGTTTAGATTAAACTGTCGGAAATTTCAAAAATCCTTTTGTTGCAGCATCAAATTACAACAGCTACGATGCAGCAGTATATGCAGCTGCAAGCAGTTATCTACAATCGAAAGCAGCAGGTGCAGCGAATGTATGGATGGGAGCAACGAAGAAATCGGGTACCACTGGTTATGATGGTGGTTCAAGTTCGTTTTCCGGCATCACTTCTTCAAATATCGCAATTACGGGCGGTAGTGGTGGTGGCGCTATCTCAGGACGAGGTGGATACACTGGAAACAGAGGTAGGGTCATATAAAGAAGTGAGGTACACTGAAAACGAAATGAACGAAAAGCTGCCTAATGAAAAGGAATATTTTCTGGAAAAAAAAAATTTTTCATTTTAGAAATCTTTTTCTAGCAGTCCTAATATTTCTTTGAATAATTTTTCCGATTTTTTCTTTGCACATTGCTTTCTCACCTGTATTTCTGCATAGTTTATTACATCCTCTAATGAACTCTGCTTTCATTAATTTTTAAAATTTTAAAATACAAACAAGAAAGAGTTTACATGAATTATGAATCAATATATATTTTTTATGATCAATGAATTTATATGATTTATTCGATAAATAGATACAATTAGACATAACTTCTGAATTTTTGCGACAGAAATTTAATTATCTTCTCACATAATCTCAGTGTTTCAATTTTTTGCTTAATGTAAAATTGAATAATAAATCTACTTTATATTTGGTTTTTTGTTCAGAAATGGTTTCTTATTACTAGTTGAGGTGGTGACCTGTGCAAGTCTTGGCCATTTATTGTTATCAGTTTACAACGGATTCTAAGTAAATGGTGAAGCTTCATACGTGCATTTTCAGATCCAAACTATTTATTTTAGGTCGTGGAACTTTCTCAAACAAGCGTTTTGGGCAAGGAAGACCTGCTGATATGCAACAGTTTTATTGTGAAGTGTGTAAAATCAGTTGTGCCGGTGCGCAGGTAAAAAAGTGAATAGTGTGATTTGATCTGATCAGCTGATTTATTTTGACAAATTTAGTTTTACTATAGGATAGGAAAACCATTTGTAATTTTTTCGAAAGTAGTCGTTGTAATCGAACGAGAAACTGTTGTCATTTGTTTTCTGATTACTAAAAAAAGGTTCGATGAAAATTGTTAGTTCAGACTTACAAAGAACATATGGATGGGCAAAAACATAAGAAGAAGGAAGCAATGCAAAAAGGTGAAGGACAAACGCTATCTAAATCACGTGTTTCATTTCGTTGTGAAACATGTAATGTCACATGCACTGGTAAAGATACTTATGAATCTCACGTGCGCGGAAGTAAGCATCAGAAAGTAAGTTGTTTTTACTATTTATGAAAATTTCTTATACATAACAAGCTTTGCTCCTCACTTGTCGTTTTGTATAATAATCTGAATACATATTACTTATTAGACTGCTAATTTGATGAAAAAATTGGGAAAACCAGTTGCCGAAACACCAACAGTGCTTGCTCCTGGTGAGAAGTCGAACAAACCAGGGGTACCGACCAGTGGTACTCCGATTTCAACAGTTGGTGGTCCTGCTGTACCGACAAAACGCGTAAATTTCTTTCATTTCGAACTTTTTTTTTACTTGGCAAAATTTTATTGATAGATGAATTAGTGTGAAAAGCACCGCTTGAGAGTTAAGTTGGATTGCAAGATCAAGTATCTGGATCTATCTCACTTATTTGTAATATAATGGCAGCAAGTTGTTTATAGGTTATCGGTGTACCGACTGTCAAATTTGTCGGCGGTGAGAAATTGCAAAGTACAGCTCAAGAACTGGCACGAAAGGCTGCAAATGCCGCTGAAGCAGCCATTGAGGCATCGGGCCAAAAAAGTGCAGCTGTTGAGGTGATTAACATCATAACTTAAATTAATCTGAAGTCTTGGAAAATTTGGATCGATTCAGCATAAATGTATAAATTCTTCACTAAAATAAGCTCTTCATGGAATCCTGCAAAAATTTTTCATTTTCGTTTCCAGGCTGCTCTGGCTGCTGAAAAAGAGGTGCAACCGGTTGGAGAAGATTATGTTGAAGAAGAAAGGAATGCTTCAGGCAAGCTGATCCAATACAGTTGCAAACTGTGTGATTGTAAATTCAGTGATCCAAATGCCAAAAATATCCACATCAAAGGACGCAAACATCGATTGCAATATAAGGTTGTTTTAAACATTCTATGACTCTCTGCTGTACTTACCTTAATATTCGCTTAAATATGCTAAAATTATTTTTCGTGCATGGGTAGCACAAAATGTTGAGTAGTTTCTACTGGACCACATAAATTTCAGATGAAGGTCAATCCAAATTTGGTCGTTGAGGTGAAACCAAATCAAGTTCCTCGTGAAATGCGTAACGAAATAGCACGCAAGCTACGTGCTCAGCGGATGCATGTCATGCCGTACGCTTTACATTGTCATATTAGTCACTTTTGTTCACGCGTCATTAGGTATAGCTTGAAAACGCTAAGTGTATAGCAGAGATAGGGTCTAGTTTGTTTATCGTTTTAGAGTTTATTTGCGGTTCTTCTGACCAATTTAGCTTAGGCCTCGTCCACTCGGTGCTCCACAGCCGTTGCTTATGCCATTACCAGCACGTCCGTGGTGCGGAGTTATGGATCCTGGAAGACGTGTAGAAACTGTAGAAGATCGACATGTCATGGCTAAACATCGTTCGGTTTGTTCCTGTTATTTATTATTTTACACAATTCATAATACTCAAGAGAGAACTATTTTGGTGCAGTTATCATCTGATTATTGAACATCCATAGAACTGTCAGTTTTTTTAGCTCCAGTTAACCAACAGATGCGACCATGCTAATATTGTTGGTGATGCAATAGCACATCGTAGTCATTTTAGAGATAAAATTGTTATCGAATGTATCAATTCAAATATTCTGGTTTGAATTGAAAAAGGATTTTTTATCCTTGAGCCTTTTTTAAAGATCTCTGGCATTTGTTTACATGACTTTTCTCTGCAGATCTATCCGGAGGAATCACAGTTGACCGCTATTGAAAAACTCGTTTCAGTTACTGAGAAGGCGCTAAAGGCAGTTTCTGATAGTTTAGCACAAGAGTACGTTTTGAAATATTTACTTTTTTTTTTCGTTGGTTTCATGTTTCTGTATAACAGAACTCAAAAAAATTGCTAGTTACTTCGAAAATCAAATTTATCTTACAGAAAGACAAAGAAACCTGATGATGAAATAAAAGATTCTCAAGAAGATGGAAGCGCATCGCATACTATCGAAGTACAGCAACCGGATCGTATTCTAAAAGGGGTTATGCGTGTTGGTCTTCTAGCTAAAGGCTTATTATTGAAAACTGACAGAGAAGTATGTTATATTATCAGTTTATTGTAAGTATCTTGTTTTATCAATTTTTTAAAATAGTTTGATTATATAAAACGAGAAAATAGGGAAGATATGGACGGTTCACAGCTGCTGAATCGCTGTGAGATAAAGGACTGTTTGCATCATGTTTTCTAATAATTTGATATATATTTGATTAATACTATAATTAATGTTTTCTGAACCTTACGGGTTAAATTATTCAATTTAAAGGTTCAATTGGTTGTACTCTGCTCTCAACCACCAACACGTACATTGCTATCAAAAGTAGTGAGATTATTGCCGCAAGTCATAGAGGTAGGAGTCACAAACATCTCATTTCGCTTCTGAGAATTAATTATATTTTCTAATCTAGTTATAGAGAGGATATTTTTAAAGAAAGTTGGTTTTACGACAATTTAAATTGTAATCTCGTCGGATGACTGATATGAGATGTTGAAGTTTATATTGTTAGATATTTTATATTAAACTATACTGTGTTGATTTATGATAAAAGTTTTTTGGACTTCTGACACAGTCATTAAATTAAAGCTTTTCATTCCTAGAATTAATTTTGATTTTTCAATTATTTTCTAGAAAGGTGAAAATGAAGTGGTAACAGTGGTGGAAAAGCCAGACGAAAGCGCATTATTATTGAAACATTCCAGTTCGGATATAATTTGCCGTATTGTACTAACATGTGTCTTGCTACGTGAAGAACATACAGCGGGAGGTTGTTTTTGCTATAAATTAAAGTGATATATA